GAGAGAGAGAGAGAGAGAGAGAATCACAAGTTTCAGGAGGTGAAATTCAACTTAAAAATTTGAGGACTAAATTATAAACTTTTGAAACTTGTATCGGATCAATAATTAATGAATTTAGAATGTAGAGGACTAAATTGTAAAGAAATAAAAATGAAGGACTAAAATACAATTAAGAAGAAACTAAAGTTGAACAAAGAGGAGAACACATGAACCAAAACGAATAGAAGACAAACTGTGGGGCTTCGATCGCAGCCCCTTAAATTTCCAAGGCTACCATAAAAATGATGGCATGTGCGATCAATTGGAAACCAACGGTAAAAATTATGGTCTTCATTTTAGAATAAAACTCTACTTGTAATGCAATTTTTCCACGATTTTTCGTACAATGAAAAGAGAAAAGAGGACTTTTTTTTTTGTGGTGAAAAACTTTTAAATCTTGAGTGTGAATGAGAGATTTTTTTATAATATTTTATATTTGTACTTTCTACTTAAAAATTAGTACATTGAGAATTTTTTTTAAAAGTTATTTAAAGTCATTTTGAATATGCAGTCACTTTTTAAAACTTCTAAAAAATCAAGATTATAGATGAGAAATGGGGTTAGTTCTGGCAAAAAACTAATTGGATTCATTTGGTAGTTGCAAATAGTTTATGCCAATCCAAGCTTAGGACAGAGATTTTGTCGTGAGCCAGTCTGTCTAGAGAGACAAGTTCTGCTTGGCCTGACTCTTGGACTTGCATGCCAACGCACGCGTACCTTTAAATTCTTTCTTTAAAAAAAGCATTAAAAAAATGTTGGCCCGTTGATACATATTTAACTTTTTTTATTTCATTAATACTAATATAATAAAGTAGTAAGAATGATAAATAATAAATCACCTCACTCCAACTCTAAAAACATTAAAGCACTATCACTCCATAGCATTGGATATCGTCACAAAAAAATATATTGTTGGATTTGAATTTTTTTCCATATTGTTGGTTTGCAAAAAAAAGGATGACTCGCTATCAGAGTAATTCTTAATTCAAGTTAAAAGAAGATGAAAATTGTAAACGCTACTAACATCAGGTAATTTGTTATATTGTTGTTCAAAATCTCTTTATTGTTTGGGTTTCAAGCAAAAGCATGTAACAATCCTCATTTATATAATTGCTTTTCCATTTCTCTTTAAAACGTGATTTATTTTTACGATAAGCCAAGTTTAGATAATGTGACGCATCATGTTACTGCAAGCAGGGGCGGACCTAGGGGGCAGGTGCCCCCCCACCCCCCAAAAAAAAAATTTTTTTTTGAATTTTTTTTTTTTTATATGAAAGAAAAATGAATCAATATTCATTTCAAACCAATGTTTTCTCTCGCCTGAGTCACCTCTTCTCATTTTTTCTCTTCTTCTTC